GGAGAAAAGGGAACCCTCCGACACTGCTGGTGGGAATGTAATTTGGTGCAGCCATTATGGAAAACAGTATGGAGATTCCTCAAAAGACTAAAAATGGACTTACCATATGATCTAGCAATCCCTCTCCTGGGCATATTTCCAGAGGGAACTCTAATTCAAAAAGATATGTGCACCCCAATGTTCATAGCAGCACTATATACAATAGCCAAAACATGGAAACAACCTAAATGTCCATCAACAGATAACTGGATAAAGATGTGGTATATTTATACAATGGAATACTACTCAGCCATAGAAAAGAATAAAATAATGCCATTTGCAGCAACATGGATGGACCCAGACCCAGAGATCATCATTCTAAGTGAAGTAAGCCAGAAAGAAAAACACCATATGATATTACTTGTGTGTGGAACCAAAAAAAAAAAAGGTCACTATGAACTTACCTACAAAATAGAAACAGACTCACTGACATAGTAAACAATCTTATGGTTACCAGGGGATAAATTTACGAGTTTTAGATTTGCAAATGTTAGCCACTATATATAAAAATAGACTAAAATAAGCAAACAAATTTCTTCTGTATAGCACAGGGAACTATATTCAATATCTTGTAATAACCTTTAATGAAAAAGAATATGAAAATGAATATATATGTATATGCATGACTGGGACACTGTGCTGTACAGCAGAAACTGACACATTGTAACTGACTATACAATTAAAACAATTCTATATTACATGTGGTAGGGCATGATATTAATCGTCACCAGATGGTCACTGGCTTCTAGAACTTTTCCCCTACCAGTGAAGCCCTCTGACCCACCAGCTGAAATCCTGTGCCCTCTGATGTGACTCCCTGATGCTCTCTTAGCCCCTCTAGCTGCCTCTTATGTAGCAAACCCACATCCCCTGCTGGACTGAGGTTCACCCTGAATCTTTGCCACTACATAACATGTTATCTGTACACAGGATAGACTCAAAGAAAGTTTATTAAATAAAAAATTCCTCAAGATAATTTTAGCCCAATGTTATTTTCACCTACATAGCAAGATAAAACTAAATCTCCCTCTCCCCAGATACAATTAAGTTAATCACCTCAATTTCTCACTTGTACTTTTGCTATAAGATTATTGCCACTAACCAAAACTGAGAAAATAAGATGTTAGTTATCTTACTCTAGCTGGCCCTCATGGCCAATTCATCTTGCTTAAAAAAATAGTTTATTATCAAATTAAGCCACAACTATACCTGTTCTCTCTCCTCAAGAAAGAGATAGAAAAAGGTGAGAGTGTGAGAAGGAGCTAACTGAGTAGAAAGGCGCTCACTAGTGCCGCTTGATCTGACAGCTCAGGGCTGTATTTGTAGGTGCTGTAGCAAAATGTGGCGTTAGCGATGCTAAGAGATTGGGGAAGCCTCTGTGGTCTCTGTTCCCCCTTCTGCTCCACTACCGAGCTCTTCTGAACCACAGTGATGACAGAGATGTTCCCTGAGCCTCTCCTGCCCACACCTGGTCCTGATGAGAGGCCTCCTGAAGGACTCCTCCCACCCCACCGCCCCAGATTTTGGGTATTATTAGAAAACTGCTCTCTGTACTGAGGTCAGTTCGGCCTTCCCCAGACTTACGCCCACTGGCCTTCATTTTGGCACAGTCTAAGCACTGGTCTTCTCCCCTATTTCAGGAAGAGCCTCTTTTCCTGTATTTCTTCTCATTCAGACAACCTTTCTGCTCCCTCTTCATCCTCCCCAGCACATCATTTTCCATCCTGGTTCCATCCTTTGGATCCATCTTGGTTTATCAGCAGGTCTTGAATTATATCCAGCACTTCAAATTAATATAGAATTCGGCCACAGTGTTATCACTCCTAAGATTACCTGAGGTTCTCCACTATTCATATGCTATCGGCTAGTATAAACTGCTACTCCTCTTGGTTAGCAAATGACAGGGCTAATTTCACGGCTGAATTATAATGGTACTGTTTCTGATTTTTAATTTCCTTTCTGTCCAGGGTATACATCAATATCTTGGGCGGTCAATATTCAGATCAAGCTGGCAACAGAATAAGGGCTTGGAATTGGTCAAGTTCTGTCACTTCCTCACCCTTTGTTTCATTTAAACCTGTCTTTCTGGCTTTGAACCATTATGTTGGAATCCGCATCTTAGAACAAGACAAGATTTCAATCACTTTCCTAGCAATGGGCCAACAGGCAAGAATCAGTGTCGGAACCAAAGTGAAGGTAGGTACATTTTTTTATAACAGTTTAAACTATTTAGAATAATAAGAGTAAAATTATGTTATTACTGATAGATTATACTTGTGTGTAATTTACTGTGCACTACTGTGAATTCTGGAATTCAGTGAAAAAATATTGAAAGTTTCATATGGATTTGAGGCAGCCTGACAGTTTCTTCTTCCTTAGAAATTCCTTTTAGTTCAGACTTGATTCATAACACATTTAATGAGTGTTCCCTCTGTGACTGAGTAGTGCAGCTTTGGGGATTTGGTTTTAGGACTTTGTGTTTGGTTGGGTTTTCTGCGTGCTCTAGCAGAAAGCCCCTGGCTTTCTCTCCTGGCTCTGTCAGGAGAGCTGGGTTCTGACCCTGCATCTCCAGTTGGTGTCCAGGAGGGCACTAGAAACTTAACAGAGCAAAATGAGATTTGAAAGCTCGCTCTACTTTCTGCCTTCTCCATCTCAGAAAATGGCATCTGCATTCTTTCAGTTGCTCAAATCCAAAACTCTGGAGTAGTTACCCTGTTCTCAGTTTTACAACCCCACATCTTTTATCTGCAAGTCCTGTAAACTCCAACATATCTCCAAACTCCTGCACTCCTTGCATCCTTCACTACTGTCACCTTTGTCTGCCTCATGTACCCAATATGCCTCTTGTTAGAATTATTACAATAGCCTTTTACTGAGTTTCCCACCTTCCAGTCTTCCTAAAGTCTATTCTAACATGAAAGTGGGAGTGATACTTTGAAAACATAAGTCTAGTCAAAACTATCTAGTGACTTCTAATCCTATTCAGGGTAAAAGCCAAGATCCTGTAAAAGACCTGCAATACCACATGTGATCTGGACTCTCTTCTTTTAATATTCCCTCGTTTCCTACCCACTCTACTCCAACCACACTAGCCTTTCTGCTGTGCTAGACAATATGAGGCACGTCCCTGCCACAGGGCCTTTGCACTTACTATCCCCTCAACTTAAAATGTTCCCCCTGCCCCATTTAGCACATAGTTGCTGCACTTTCTTCAGTTTTCAAAGTCCTTTCCTGACACCCTGTGTAAATTCGCAGCCCCCCTACCCCCACCTCCACCCTGACACTCTGTGAGTGCCTCTTTGGCCATATGTATGTCACAAATTCTAATATGTAATGCTTTCATTTTTTTCCCCTAGTTTATAGTTTCTATTTTGATTTCTTCAACTCAGTAGTTATCAAATTTTCAAATAGTTTCTTAAAGTTTACTACCCTTTTCTTGTTAATTTCTAGATGGTCAAGGAATATAGCTTACAATTTTTTCTGCTATTTAAAATGTATTCATTTTCTCTTGGTGGTTGATGACATAATCTACGACTGCTCCATGTATATTTGACCCTCCAAAAGGTGTATTATTTTTTGGCACAAAATTGTGTATGTCTAATTGTTCTATTCACACTTCTCTCTCTATTCTTTTTGTCTTGTTGGTTTATTTCTGAGAGATGTGTCAAAGTCTCCCAACATGATGGTGAATCTGTTCATGTTTCCTACTATTTCTATCAGGTTTTGCTTTATATGTCTTGAAGCTCTGTGGTTAGAAAATTAAAGAGGTCGACTGTGTTTGTGGTGAGGTACAGCCCTCATCCCTGGGCCAGCTCACTTAGATGCCCTGCAGCTGAGCCCACTACATGACTCTGTGTCTCAGCGAGTTTTGTTATTCTGAAAAAATTTTAATATCATCAGTATTATTTCCAATTTCCCTTTAAAATAATGGTCTTTGCCTTAAATGCTATTTCCTATGATGTAAAATTGCCACACCTGCTCTCTTCCAGTTAGCGTTGGCTTTGTACATTTTTTTCATCCTTTGATTTTCAACCTTTTTATGTAGCTTTGATTTAGATGTGTCTCTGGCAAACAGCATATAACTGGATTTTGTTGCCTTCCTCAACCTGACAGACTCAATCTTTTAATATGTTGTGTTTTAATGGTTATTCTAACATTGTTAACATATCTTTTTTTCTGTATGCATAGAGCTAAGCTCTGAATCCTCCAGGTATATCTTTTCCTTGACAACTACAATTCTCTCAAATTCCTAGGAAAATAATAACACTATATATATATATATATTCTAAGACCTTTCTCTGGCTACTAACTCTGTTTCTCTGAGTATTAGTACCTCTGATAGATAAACCTGGTGCCTCTCGTTGGGCATCCCCGTTCTCCCACGTTCTGCCAGCCGTGGAGAGTGGTACGGGCCGCTGAGGGGTGGAAGGCGAGCCCCAGCAGCCAGCCTCAGCTGGGGGCACCGTGGCTCACACAGAGGGCAGGGCAAGGGCTGCCTCCCACCCGACCATCCTCAGGTCTTCCTTAGGGCCCCTCCTCCTTCCACTGCTGTTGACTTTGAGCTCAGAACGTGGGAGCTTTCTCTCTCTATGGATGTGGTCCCAGCTGCTTCTCAATTTTCAGGAATTCCTCAAGATTATTCCTCTTGATGAGTATCCTGCCTATTTTCTAGAACTATTATTGATTTACTCTCTAAAAACACTTTCTGCCATTTTATGGGATTTGGGATTCAGGGAAAACTAAAAATGGTGATCCATTTTCAGTACTCAGCCATCTCACCCTCCTCTCCCCATCCCCTCCCTCCCTCCCTTCTTTCCAATGTGGGGAGAGATGAAAATGCAGGAAGATACTGCAAATTCTCGGGTCTCTGGCAGGTAAGTGATCACTCTGCTTGCAGGAGGTAGTAGCTGGGTTTGCATTTAGCCCGCCCCACGGAGGCTACGTGCCCCAATGAGACTCGTCCTGATGCCCCAGCCTGGAAACACCTCCGGCTAACAGACCTTCACCTTCCTGCAGCTGCAACGAGACAGCATCGGCCTGAATCACTGAAGGCTGTGAGGGAGTGGGGAGAGCAGAGGACAAGAAAGGGTCTTGGGGAGGTTAATGTGGACCTGCCTCCTGGAAGAAGGGGCACATTTTAGGAGGAAGAACAGCGTTTTAGTCCTCTTGGTCCTTCTGAAAAGCCCAGCTCAGGTGCTAGCGTCTCTGGGGAAGGCTGCCCCTCAGGGCCTTCCCAGCTCCAGGCCAGCACGCACCGTGCTGTCCACACTGGGCCTTTCCCAGAGACCTGCCTGCAGCATCTCTGCGTTCCCGTCATATGCTGCTAAATGACGTGAACAAACTACACATTTGAAAGGAATTATCCAAATTCTGTTTGGTCTGGCCTGCTCTAGTCTCTCGGATCTCCACAGCATTTCAGCTCATACCCATTCAGGTTCGAATTTCCAGTACTGCCCCTGTTTATAGATAATTAGATTCAAGAAGGAATCCAACCCCAAATTCGTGCTGCCTCTGGTTCCATCTCCTCCCATCTCCTGGTTCCACAGTCACATTTCCACCCTTGGACCCTGAGTTTCCTTTTCTTTCTCTTTGCTGAAAAGCTAGAGAACCCTAAGGAGATCCCAGCGCTCCGGTACCTGAATGGAGATGATCTTCTTCTGCTGGCCAGTTTAATAAAGATCCGACGCCTGTTTCATAAACTTGAAGGATGTGTGAATTTCCCCTCCAGCCAGGTTTGGGAAAAATTAAAGCAACCTTCCTACCTTTCTTCACTTTCTGTAAAACTAATTGCCCTTTGTCACAATTCTGGTATAAAGCAAGACACAATAAAAACAATTGCAGCTATGATAAATGAGAACATTTAACTAAGAATAATGGTGCTTTCATTTGTTTTGTCGAGTTTTTCTCGGAGCAGGGGGTGTGGGGGGCGGGTTTCAAGTGAAGTGTATATGACTAGGAAGTACCAAGAAATGTGCTGTATTACAAATTTAGAGCACATCCTGAGTCCTCACTGGTTTGCATTCTTAGTTGGAAAATGAAACAACTCACTTTCGGGGCAGCAGAGAACGAGCAAGTAAGCAGAAGTGTCCCCATCGGCCAGAGTTCCGTCAGGAAAACAGACAGCGGGAGGTACCAGGTGCTTCTACCCAAAGGCTGGGGAAGTGAAGGTCAAGGAACACCCCTGCTGGCTTCCAGGAAAACTGGAAGTGAGGGAATCTCAGGAAGCCACGAAGCCAACACATCAAGGGAGACAGTGGCAGGAGCTCCTCAGAGGAGTGGCAGCCTCACATTTCAGTGCAGGCAACAAACAAACAACTGCATCCCTGAACATCCACCTTCCCACCGCTGGTTGACGATGGCTGCTGCTCCTCTCCACCTCCCAAACCTCAGGCAGGTGCCTCTCCCTGGGGAATCATAACAGGCTCCCACTGGGAAAGGATTATGGGACAGTATGTGTTTCCCCTTCCCAGGGGTGGGAGGAGGGATGCTGCTGAATTTGCAATGACAGCCCAGCACAGCATCCTCTGCTCAATGATAACGTTGCCTTAGAGCAGAAAGAGTTGAGAGGTGGACGTGGAGAACTCTAAAGACGTCCTTGAAGCACCACACCCTGCCCTCTCTTGAGCCTCCCCAACTTCTCGGTTCCCTGTTCTCTAGAAGAGAGAGAAATGTAGTTGGAGGGGCCATCCCTTAAAGTGAGTAACAAATTTGGTGCCAGTGTGTAGCAAGAGGGATTATGCCCATCCACTGGTGATTCACCAGTCAGTGCAAGGTGCTAAATCATGTTGTTTTCCCACTAAAAGCCTGCTGAGGAAGCGCAGGGAGGGGACCGGACAGCATGCGGAAGCCTGGGGTATCCCACCCATGGAGGGCTGAGCACCAGGCAGCAGGAAGGAGCTAAGCTACTGGGAGACAGGAGGCTGGTTCTTGGTACTAATCCAGTCACCACCTTTTTTAAAATTTTAAGCTGCCTTTGATTAACTTACTTTTTAGGAACTGTTCTAACACTGAGGATTTGACTGCCTTATGTTGTCATTTCCACTCTTGCTAATCTCCATTGCTGTCTTTGTTTAAAAAAAAAAAAGGTTCTCATACTCCTATCTTGATCAGTGCTAGGCCGCTCTCTTTGCCTTTTGCCTCTTCCTTTTCATTGACAAGTGAGATTTTATTTTTCTATCAGGTGAAGGAAATATCTAATTAATTGAGCTAATATGTTTCAGTACAGCTCTAAGCAAACAGCATACTTCAGGACAACAAGTAACAGTCACAACAATCACATCATTAAAAACTATTTTGGGGGTGCTGGACCCATGGTAGATACTGGATAAGGCCTTGATTAATTGGAGATTGGCAGGATAATGAGACATCTTTTACCAATGTTGCTTAAAGTCTGAAAGAATGTTATTCAAAATTATCTTAATGATTATTACGTATAATAAGAGAATTTATGTTGCTTCTTTAAAAATGTATTAAAAATTAAAGTGTTTTCA